CCAAAAAATAAAACCAGCAAAGTGACATTCATCCTTATTTTGAATGACATTAGAAAAAGAAAACATGAATATTTAGACCAGAAATAAGTACAATATTGAAAAAAAAAATCAACAAAAAGTCAATGTACATATTTATAATACAAATTAATTCCTCTTGTGTCTTTGATAAATTTTACTTTTTTGTGTGTGGCTATAGAAGTATTCCTTATTTTTCATTTGGGTTTTGACATTTAATAATTTGAATGATTTTGATGTATATGTTTTCAGTACATTAGTGGAGAGAAAAAAAACAGCACTAAAAAGACAATTGTTCTCCTAATACACTGCGTTACTAGTGAGGACTAGTACAAGGACCATACGATGGGTAGAGGATATGGAATAAATGCTCGAACATCTTTCCCAGGCTGCAGTCACCTTGAATGTTGGATGAAGTCAAAACGATGTCATGTATACCAGGGTAGCAAAGAAAATGTTTATTTTAACATACATTATGACTTGATTCATAAAGTAGACACCTTGAAGTGTTTAAAATGTGTCTGTGTGGCTGAGGAGAGTGCATTTTTCTACTGTGTTCCCCTGCGATTGTCTTCAATGCTGAGATGATTTCTTCTTCTGAAGCATTGTAAAATGAAATGTATTATTATTATTATTATTATTATAATAGGGAGCCTGATAAAAAAACGCACAAAAAAAGAACAAGCCACAATGAGTACACGCAACGAAAACAGCGCTCTCAACTGGCCGTCAGCAGCACTACAACACGAAAAACAGATTTTAATCAAAATTGAGACATGACTTTGACACGAACACGAACGGTAAAATAGGAGTGCACGTGTATTTCTAAATGTATCTTTGATACTGTCAGGTTTTATGGTTCAAAAGACGCTTCAAAAGCTTAATTGAAGTATGTCATCGTCGCTAGCATCTTAGCTGTAGCAATCCCCTCGTTCGAAGCCAACTATCGTTTTAAATAAAAATACAAAAAGTACGTATCTTCTTCACTTGTTAAATGATTTGAATATATAATTTTAAACTCACCTTTGGGTCTAGCTTGCCTTGGGTGACGGTAAACAAAAGAAACGCGAGAGGGAGCGAGGAAGTCAAGCTCCGCTGCTTAAGTTTGTGACGAGCTCTAATTGAAAAGTTGCGTTTAAAAACCGTACAAGAATCCAAACTCAAGGCCATCTGTCAGTCATTCATTCTAGAACATATAAAGCCACAATAAAAGGCGAGAAACAAAATCATATGAATTTAATAGTGGTTGTGTTTATTTCAGATTGTTGAGGTGTAAGCAAAAATAAATAAAGTCTGGCCCTCTTTTTGAACGAAATACAAAATTAAAAATTTCGGTATGGCCCACAAACGCACCATTTTTTAAAACGTGACTTTAGAGTGAGGGTGTAAAAGTGTGATCAAAAGAATGAAAATCTGATCGAAATTTTGTGTTCATTCCATTTTTAATAAAGAATAAAGTTAATGGGTATGTGAAATGCTTGACTTGTTGCTCATTTTTTCATTCAGTAATTTCAATGTTATGTAAGTTGTGGCGACCCCTGATGGGGCAACCTGGGCGTCGCAAGAACAGCAATAAACAATCACATTTTACAAATATTTTATTTACAATGCATCCATTTATTAATTTGCTAGTGAGCAAAATGAATAAATACATTTTAATTCAGCAAGTATTGGGGTGAGGCAAATTTCTATTGGTGAGCTGCCGTTTACCTGAAAATTTCCAATATAAATGTTTTTACCAGAAGCAAAAAAAGGTAAAAAATAATTTCATCCGATGAAACAAAAATACCAGAAATGTACCTGCACCATGCACATGTCAGCATTTCTACAGATTCACTTATTTAGGACCAAAAATATTCACACACCCCATATATAGACCATGAGGGAAAAAAATTAGAATAATTTTTTTTTAATACTTTGTTGCATTGAGACTTTTCACAATTATTGTATAACGTATATTGGGGTGTATTTCCACAGACCTAACGACATTAAGCTTACGAAACCATGTTTGTTTTTGTTTTTTCTATTTTGGGGTCTTCTCGAATAATTTGTATTTGGAACTATGAGTCGCCACTTGGACTTGAAATAGATTTACATGGGACAGGAGAAGTGAACCTTTTTTTCGTCACTGGATGCTACAGCTTCTTGTTGACTTTGAAACTTAGCTTGTAGCCGACGTGTGCACATTTTGAGCATGACGTCTCTGATCCACTGGTGACAGGACAGTTTGATTCTCTCCTCTTTCATCTCAAACTGCTTTAAACAACAAAGCGTATGAGGGAAAAGTGGTTAGGATTGCGCGACTGCCCGTGTTTTATGTTATGTGTTGTGTTTCTTATTTTACTTTATGTCAACTGTTTTGTGAAGCGCTTTGTTACAGCTGCAGCTGTTGTGAAAGCGCTATATAAATCAGGATATATTATAGATTGTATAAATTGAAGGCAATCATTGGAAATCCTTGTGTTTATTGCATAAACAAGTTCTTGGTCAATGACTTAGTGACTCCTCATGACGTTGTTGATCCAGCTGTTGTAACGACACACGCGGGCGTACACGCTGGGGTGTCCCTTCATGGCGCAGTCATAGCCCCAGGAAACCACACCCTGAAGCTCACCATTGCACACCAGAGGACCACCAGAGTCTCCCTGCGGACACGCGTACCGTATACTATATTTAGCAACTCATTCCATGTTTTCTGTGTTTAGAGTGATGCAGATGTACCTGGCAGCTGCTGGCACCGCCATGCATGAAGCCGGAGCAGAGCATGTTCTGCGTGAAGAGGTGCGGATACGCGTTCTGGCATATCCTGTCGTCAATGATGGGCTGCCTCAAACACTGAAGTCTGTCGGGGAAGTTGTCTGAGGGGGAGTCAAGAGAGAGGGCGAAAAACAAAAATCATTCCTGAATCTAAACAAAAGCCCTCGACTCACTTCAACGTGGTTCCTTGGCACCAAGAGTCTACTAGAAAAGCGCTACTTTAGTCAGAGATAGCTCCTTATTAATTGAATTTCTTCACTGTATATATCAAGCCGGCAAACGGCCACTTACTGCCATTGGCAGCCATGTTGCCCCAGCCGGACACCAGGCAGTTCTCGTCGGCAAAGGTGCAGCGCGAGGGCAGCGGCACGGTACGGACGTAGTTGTTGAGGGCGGCCGGGCGGCTCAGCTTGATCAACATGATGTCGTTGTCCAGGTTATGGCTGTTGTACTGCGGGTGCCTGACCAGCACGGCCGAGTCGATCCACTGCTCCGTGCCTTCGTTTGCGGCGATGTTGTGCTCGCCCAGACGCACCTGGATGCGACTGCGAAAGTCAGACCGGATAGTTGAGCTGCTATCGTTTTGGTCAACAAACAGCGGTTTGGTTTGGTTCCTCAATTTACAAAGCGTTTGTACTTACGACTTGTAGCAGTGGGCCGCGGAGACCACCCACTGGCTTGAGATGAGGGAACCCCCGCAGAAGTGGTAGCCAGCGTTCAGAGACACCTGATAAGGGACCGAGTGGCGGGGGCACTCGTAGCCCCCGACGATCTTATCGTCCTGCTCCGCAGCAACAACTGGCAAACGGCACACGAGGCTTACCAATATTTGTGCTATTCAAGTTACAAATGAAAAAAAGCCCCTATGTGCATAATATGAATACCACATTGATAGTTTTTTTAAAATAAAATAGAACACATCCCCAACGTAGACTCAAATCACTTCAATTACAGTACTAAAAAGACAATGTACATTAGTAACATATCTAACGAATTAATTCAAAATCGGTCTGGTATTATTTATATTTTTATATTCCATTTTACAATGGGCTGTTGAAAGAAAAAATCCCTAAAATACTTGGATACCTTAAAAATGATCAAATAAAAATGGACACTCATGGAATAAAAAAGGAACACTGACAAAAGCAATGAAATCATTATGTGAAAAGCCACTAAAATTATTCCTGGGTATGGAGAGCACAATGTGAAATATTCTTACACGCTGCTCCGAGCAAAGCCAGCAGAATCAGGAACTTCATGGTGACGTGTGTGCGCGCACGTTGATGTCTGAAAAGCAGCATGCGCTGGACTCGTAATTATATCCACACGCGCATGCACGCGCGCGCACACCATCAGGCCATTCTCAAGGTCGGCATGAGGTGGGGGGCATAAAAAAAAAACCTGTCATCTGGGAAAACAAGCATATGGCTGAAAAGACCTTGAGTCGTATCAACAGTGGCCTGACGCCATCTTCAGGTGTCAGCTCCAAGAAGCTTGGCGCTTATATAATCGAGAAGGAAAACAGCAGGGGGGTTTTTGGGGATGCAAATTAGGGTAAAAAAAAAACAAACAGCAATTTGTGAGAGATGCTTTTCATTGGACAGTGACGATATTGTTACTTTTTATTTGCAGATTAAAAAAATAAATAAACATTAATCTCCAAATTAAAGCAAAAGTACGTCTTTCCAAATTTAAACATGCATATTGAAATGAGTAGTTTTACTTTTCAAGCAAGCACAAGGAGCAACATGACACGCATGTGGACGCAAAGGTATTATGTACGTACCGCAGAGTGTAAATTTGTCTTCTGTGTATGTATGTGCATATATATATATATGTGGGGGGGTGTGTGTGTGTGGGGGGGTGGGTGTGGGTGTATATAAATATATATATATATATATATATATATATAATATTATACTTCCTCTTTTGCCTTTCATGACAGATTCTACATTAAAAAAAATAAAAAACGAGCACAAATTTAACTTGGAACATGTAAAAGGTTTATTGAACATAAATTTAAATAACAAAACAAACAAAATGCAGGTAGAAAAATATGTAACAGGTTTAGAAAGACCTTTTATACAAGTATGTACAAAGCACAAAGCCGAATATGCCACTAATCCCGGCCTCCAAACGTGGGGAAAACAAACATGTCAAAACTTATTATTGTAGCGGAGTATTTGGACAAAAACAACAACAAAAAAAAAACCAAAAAAAAAAAAACAGTGGTTGTTGAACTAAAAACTGCGGTTAAATCAAATGTCAGTAATTAATGTTGAGTTACGTCTTGGAACATCGAAGGACAAAATGTTTCAATATGAGGTAGCACACACGGAAACACTGATGTGGCTGCAAATTTCACCCACTTCAAAACTCAAACTCCCATTTTTAGCCCGCCTTCCAATGGGAAAGGTGAAAGCACAAATGCATTAAATTCTATAAACATTATTCCAATACATAAAACAAACAAACAAACAAAAAACCTATAAAGGGACAGTGCAAAAAGTATTTATCCTTAAAACACGCAAAATGAACAAGAAGACTGCGGGATAAAAGTAGCCTTTCTGAGAGTGCGGTAAAAACTATTTGAACTCTACCAGCACCCCAGTCAAGAAACGGAGAAACTAAAGCATGGGATCCGAGTACAGAACGTAATAAATAAATATTTCCCTGCGAGAAAATAAACAAACAAAACTGAAGCTGAATAGGTAAAAAGAGGATCACAAGGCCTTGTGCACGTTACAGAAATAGTCAGTGATTGACATATGGCTCCATTGGTCAAGATTCCAGCCAGGACACCACACCAAAGTACCCTTCTTGTTGTAAAATGTGACTCTATGGATGTAGATGCACTCGCAAAGTGACCGCAGGTGTGCCGTGTCGGGCGATTCATACCTCAGGCGGCTAGTTAAGGTAGCGGCGGCAGCGCCGCGCGCCGCAGTTGCAGCGCAGCTTGCTCTCTTCGTCCTCGATGGGGAACTTGTAGTCGTACGTCAGCTCCTCGCCACGGTAGATCTTGCGCAGCGCGAAGATGACGATGTGCTTGCGGCCGTCCACGTTGATGACGCGCGAGTAGCAGTTGGGCTCGCACGAGTGGTTGATGAAGCGCGCCGCGTTACCCTGCATGGTGGCGTCCACCACGTCAAAGTCGTCGATGCGGAACATGTAGCAGCCGATGCCCTGGTAAAAGCACGGCAACGTCAGCGCCATCGACCGAAGCAAAGCATGCGCCTCCAAAGGGCGCCGGTCTTGTCTCAAACAATTCAGTCCTCGGGAGTTAAACGGTTGCCGTCTTAAAGGCAAGCGTCTCCAAGTGAGATTTTGGCCAATCAATTTTTGGGGGGAGGGTTAACAAAAAGCATTTTATCACCAACCTTGTAATAAGAAAATTACTATTTCCAAATTTCGTTTTTAAAGTATTAAAATGATTAAAAATTGTGATTTCTTTGTAAAGCAATGCGCCTCAGTTTTGTGTCCAAATTCTGTGATTTTTTTTTTTTAAAAAGCTTAACTCTCCAAATTTGATTTCTTTTTTTAACTTTGAATTTTCCTTTTAAAAACATCTATATTTCATGATTTTCATAATTCTCCCAAATGTGATTTCTTTTAGGAGGGTATTGCCAAATTGTCTTAAAAAAAAAAGTGATTAATTTAAATTTTTTTTAAGGAAACTATCAGATATAGTGATTTATTTTTCAAAACTGGATTTTTAAAAATCCTGAATCTCCAAATGTTTTTCCCCCCCGCACGTATCTCTAAATTTGGCAGCATGCATCCTATTTTTGTGATTTCGTTTGAAAACGTGGAATCCCAAGTTTTGTGACTTTTTTTCTTTTCTTGAGATGCTTGCGATGTGAATGAATGGCAGCCGGGTCTGTTCTCAGGTTGACTCACTTTGCTGTCGTAATATTTCTCCCGCTTATCAGTCAGCACCGAGCGGATGACTGTGCCTGAATACTCGATGACCATTTCCCCTGCTTCGATGTTCCTCTTGCAGAAAAGCCCTCGGCCGTGAATGAGAGACCTGCAGAAAAGCAAGGCGAGTTCATGTCCACTAAGTCCATCCGACAGCAAGACTTTGGCCCATTCTTGCGTCACCTGTAAACACCGACGGCTTCCTTGGAAGTCTTCTCCAGGTGTCGAAATCTCATCGCCATGGGAAGCTCACTGCTGGTGGCGCGCCTGGTGGACAAGTTCACCGGGGACTCGTGACCCGAATGCCGTTTCTGTCTTTTTGCCGTTTCATTTGCGTTAAATGAACTGACCTGGAAGACTTGAGCGGAAATTCGTCGTCCTCCTCATCGTAGGCACCGACTGAGTCGGGGAGAGCTCGGTGCTGCGATGCCAGGAAGTCGAACATGTCGAATGTTGCTTTCCTGTTCACACAAAGCAAAAGACGTTCATTAGACCTGCATGTGTCGTACCAAATCCAAAGCATAATAGTCAAACGAGAGAGCAACGCACCGCACGTAGACTTCGCCGCGGGCGCAGCCGCTGGGGTTGAGCGGCAGCTCCTCCTCGGCGCCATTGCATCGGTGGAAGCGGAAGCGGTGGCTCTTGCAGTTGTCGGCGCCGCGCAGCTGCTCCAGCAGGAAGATGACGGCGTCGTGCACCACGCCCAGCACCCGCGGCCCGCTCATGCCGGCCAAGGGAAGCTGCCCCAGGCGGAAGGCCGCCCGCGCCTCTTGGACGCTGTCGATCACGGCGCGCCAAGCCACTTGGGGGGGAGAAATCGGGATGTGAACATTGAAGCTTCCTCTCTCTTCCGCGTGATCAAAGTCAGCCAAAGCTCAATTGTTGGACGCGTGTAAAGATTATCCGGAGTGATTATCCTATGGTGTGTGTCTGTGTGTGTGTGTGTCCGTGGGCAAGGGGATCAAGATGATCTGAAAATCACCGTACACCACAGGAGCAGTGAGAAAACACATTCTTACCCTCGATGCTGTTAGCTTTGACGCTAAAGCCGTCATCGCTGGTGATTTCAAAACGCAGGTGAGGCTGGTTCATGTAGATCCGCTTCTTGTGTTTGGGCAAAGGGGCTTCATCTTCGGAACTATAACCTAAGGAATTCAACAATTGTTAATTGTGCTCTTTACTCATATTTACGTATTGTCAACCCTTTTAAAATTATGGCCTAAATCATAATTTGACTTTTTTTTTTTGCCTTAAACATCTCGGGATGCTTGATCACCTCTGCTAAAATGGGCTACGTCCTTCGTGAAACACATCATTCAATTACACCCCGGAAATGAAATACGATACATACGATCAGAATGTGGTTCACCTTTTTGTGTCTTTAAGTCAATTATTCTCAGAGGCTGACAACATTCTCGTGTTAAACGGACCAACCTGCAAGCGGCCCCCATTCGGATAAGTCTCCATGACGAGCGCTGACCCACTTGTGTGCGGTAGCCCGACAGCTGAGACTCTCCACGTGATGAGGTCTGAGCATAACACACAATACAATGTAAATAAGATGTTTATTTCACCTTTTTTTTTTTTTTTTTTAAACCATTAGCTGACCTTGGGGACATCGGCACGGGTGGCGCTGTAATGCTCAAATTCTCCTTATCCACATCGGGAACATTTTTTACGGGCTGAATTTTTATTTTGACGCGTCTGTGGAAAGAAATGAGAGTCTGCAGTTTAGTTTCGCCGCCCATTTTACACCTGTTGCTAACGGCGCCCGCATTCTGTGAACTTGCAGTTTCGCACCCGCTGTTGTGGATCCGAGTTAAGCAGACCCAAAGACTAAAAACAATCGCGTGATTTATATCTGCGCCTTTGTACACCACCTGCAAAAGGGGGTAATTTCCTTGACAAGTTTTCTGTCCCAATGCAGAGTCAATCAGGGAATTTTACGTCTTAGCGGAAATAGCACCAAACCATGACAGAGGCGGGATAGGCCATCTGTGTGTAAGCCTATATATTTCAGCAATGCACTTACGTCTCCTGACTTGAAAGGAATCGTCGCCGCCCGGCGCTAATTTTCAAATTGCGGGATGCGGTGCTTTTGTCTGAAGCACTTGCAGCCACGTCGGGCCTTTGCTGCGTTCTGTGTGAAGGCAGACAAATACTTTTGTTACAGTTCTCATGTCATAATTTTGGGGTATCTCTGTGTGAAAGATAGCCTGTAAAAGACGTGTCGCCGTGTGAAACAATCGTCAGGAATACCTTGCGCTGGGTTGTGCATCAAATATTACAGCGCTCATTCACACCACATTCTGGCCCTGATGTCATTTTGCGCCTCATTTATCAGAGAGGTAAATGATTTATTTATTTAGATTTTAGAATGAGCGCTTACCATTTCCAACAATATCCCGCCTCCGCTGAGTTCTTTGTGCGCAGCATCGGTATTACGGCTTTGATTCAACGTGACATTGGCACTGACCTGGACTCCGGATGGTCTTCATGATCGCTGGAGGGCTCGTTCAGGATGTCCATCTTGGCTCTCTTCCTCTTCCTCCTCTGAGGGATGGCGGTCGGGAGCTTGATACACACTTCAGGAAGGGGCGCAGGTGTCGTCTGCGGGTTGCGAGCCGGCACGCCGCTCTCGACGCTCGGGGACTCTGCGGCGCCACCGGCCGACTGACACGGCTGATGACACCCCGACTGACCCGGCTGATGACTGGCGTCTTGAGATTGAGATGGCTCTGGGGGTTTGCCACCTGCGTGTAGAGCGCCGCTAAGAATGATGGGCTTCATCCTTGGGGTGTCACGTTGGGATTCCATGGATCTGTTCATAATCGCTTGAGCTGTTTCGGCCTCGGACAAAACCGAGGCGGGATTACGCTGCACGGTGACGGCCGGCGGGGGACTCATCATGCGTTTGATGGGCACCACTCGGTAGATGATTTTGTTGTTTGGCGCCGGAGTAGAGGAGACGTTGGCAGGCTGGGTGCTGGGGCAAGGTTTGACTGTGATGCGAGGGATGGGTCGCTTCATGGCGTTGTTACCCTTATGGAGCATCTTGGCAATTTGGCTTATCTTGCTGTAAGTGGGAGAGCTTGTGTTGAGCGTTTGGTAAGTGTTGGTTCGAGGGTTTTTCAAGAGGATTTGACCCTCACTGTTGACGAGGAGCACCTGGGGCGTCGGCGGAGAGGTCGTCGCAATGCTGGTGGCCGCGGCCGGCGCGGGAATGACGGGTTGGGTAGGCTGCGCTGATGACGCCACGGGCTTGTCCAAGCGGATGGCGATGGTTTTGCCTCGCAGGACAGCAGGTTGGACATTTAAAGCGTTTACCCCGTTGAAGAGAACGGGCGAGGTGACAGCATTGGGGGCGACGGTAGACACTGTTGCTGCGTTGACAACCTGAACTGACGTGGGGGGCAGCAGCACCTTGACCTTCTGCTGGTGCTGAGGGACGCTCTGCTTGGTTATCAAGCACTTCATTTTGGGAGTGTGGCGTACTTTTTTCAGAATGATTCTTTTCATTGGTGAGTGCGACACGTTTTGGGGCTCAGGAGAATAGTCTGGGTCTTTATCGTCATCTTTGAAGCCTTCGGTGGAGTCTGTCGATGACACGTTGTCATTGTCATCAGCTCGAGTGTTACTTGCGCACACCAGAGAGACATCTTTGGCGGCCATAGAACTCCCGATGGGTACTTCAAGAAGCACATCCTGGGCCGAAGCGTCGCCGTCCATCAGTACCTCCTCGCTTTGCACCACATCAAAAGCGTCAAGGAAAACGGGGGCCGAGTGAGCTTCCGTTAAACTGCCTGCCACGCTCGTACCTTGTTCTGCCGCGTTAATGGACTCCAACCTCCTGAGTGCGACTGTCAGCTGCTTCGTGGGCGAGCTGATGTCGGTGTGAATCTGAACATCGCCACTTCCCACTTCGTCGGGCCCCTCGCTGCGGTCGCTCTCGGAGCCGTCGTCAGTGCCGTCCAACTGCGAAATGGACGGCGTGGAGGGCAGGGCCGAGGTGTGCGCGCCACCCGCGGCTTCGCACACCACGGTGCGCCGAAACTTAACGCCGTGGTGTTCATCTTCGGAGTCCGGCTCTGGGATTTCGACATCCAGCCGGCCGCCCGGCAACACGTTCTCGGTCAGCAGGGTGTCGTCAAACTCCAGCTTGGCGTTGAGAACAGAGGCGACTGCAACCTCGGTGTCAGTGTCGAACATGGCGTAAGGTGGCTCCGAGCGTCCATCCGCGTAGTCGGGAGCAAGCGAGATCCCGTTTGTCGTCGCCACCGCCGCATCCTCTGTCTCAGACGATGCCAAGAAATGTTGGGGAACCTCAGCAGACACCGAAGTGGTCATCCTGAACGCGTGCCTGCCCTTTGGGGAGCCCTGGCGAGGCGAAAACCCGGCGGACATCGTTTGAGGCGGGGAGCCCCAGCCCGGTGAGAGGGAGTTCGATCGCGATAGGGGAGGAGAGGTCGGCGCAAAGTTGGATGACCTCGGCGGGGTGCTGAAGTGAGCGCAGCGGGTGTGGATGGGGCCGCTGTCAGTTGGGGAGGAACTGCTGCGGCTCCTGGACGACAGCCTTCGACGGCGGTGAGTGTCCTCCAGGTCACGCAGAGTGACGATGTGACGTGATTTGGAGGATGCCGAACCTAAAAAAGAAGAACTTAGTTCGCTCAAGACTCTCAACCGACTTAAGGGCTTCAAACTTGCACCCATCATGTCCCTAAATCATGACAAAAGCAAATCCCTGGACTTACTGTATCACTTTTCTTTTTCCTCAACTTATAAAGTGCCTTGAGAAAACGACATGTAATTCTGACGGCACTCCGTTGTATACCTGGTGATGGGAGGGGTCGGGAAGATCCCCCTGCGGGCCTCCTGGTCTGTGAGAAGCCGTGGTGCTTGTGTCCAGGCGAACAACTGTGCAGTTTGGAGTTGGGTGATGGAGTGGCAGAACAAAGTGGGCTGGAAGAGCTGCTTAGACTGTCCAGAGTCTCCACATCTGCGGGGGGGGGGGACACACGACATCATACGCATTTAACCATCTGGACATCATCCAAGAGTCATAGCACAAACTAAAATTGACTCTTACTGTTGTGTAAGGTGGGACTGTGGACGATGGTTTGATTCTCCTCTTGATCGCACTTGATGAGGAGCTCCTGTTCCTCGCCGGGCAGGGGGCTACTTACTTCGGTCACCTTACAGGTGTACTTGCAGCGTCTGCGCGGATCCACGGTGCTCCAGTAGAACCGAGAGCACCTGCACAAACAGGGTGTGTTTGTACGAGAAATGCATTTCTCATCTTAAATGCTGTCAAGTTGACATCCTATCGAGGTCCGCTTACTGGTATCCAACAGGGTATAACATCCTTCCATTTGATGAGATTTCTGACAACACACCGAGTTTCTGGATTTGCAGAGACCCTAAAAAGACAAAGAACAATTGGAGTCGCAATAGGCTCGTGTCCACTGGCACAATAAAAGTATGCTAACAATACAACGATAACCACAGTATTGTAGCTTGCAGTGCTGTACAACCAAATAATATTCCAAAAAGCGCACCGATGGTCATATTAATGGATTCAGGTTCGAGGCCTGTGAGGAACTTCCTCTTGAGGGTGATCCCTTCAAAGTCAACATAGACTCGCCGTGGAACTTCAAATGCCTCCCCTGACACGGTCTGAAGAAAATTGGCAAAGAGTTAAAAAAATGATTTTCAACCTCAAATTTTTCTTAAGAGTAAGTAATAGATTTGCCCCCCCGACACACCGCCACAGTGACGAGATCCGTGTGCTTGTAGCAGTAGACCTTCCGGTCCCGCTGGAACACGCAGTCGTGGGCTCGCGCACACATGAAGTGGAAGTTGCTCTGGCAGGTGGAGAGGCAGCAGCCCACCGTGGCCCCCGACAGCCCGCAGCGGTCGCAACGCTAAGCAAAAATGACAAATCAATAAATAGTGTGGAATTCTCTCTGCAATAACGACGAAAATGCGCGACTCTCTCTCCCTTTGTGGTAACCAATCGGTGTTCTTTCTGCGTACCAGGTGGCGGCCCCTGTAGACAGCGGTGTGTACTTGATGTAGGGCGCCGTTGTTCTCATACACTTCGGCAGACCAAATGCAACAGTTGATGTGGGCCCACTCGTTCTGGCCCAGGTACAACAGTCGTCCGCCGTCCTGTCAAAATAAGCGGGAAAATAATCGAAAGAAAGAATGAATAAAATCTTTGTATCAATTTCAATGCGGCGCAACGACAAAGAAAAAGCAGCTTCTGCCTACTCTGGGTGCAGAGTCGCCACACTGCTGGCACAAAGCGCACTGTCGGCCATCTTTGAAAGCGTCCACGTTGTTCATCACACCTGTGTTGGATAAAACCATTTTATTTCAAATGAGCCCATTCCACGTAGCACGCAGCCGCCGTCGAACATCGTCCAAACCTTTCCCCGCTGGCGTCCCTCTGCTGTCCCGAGGCTGATATGTCCTCTGTATCCACTGCGCATAGCTGTGTTCCTTGGATGGCGGGATTACTGCTTCGGGGAGCATTCCACTGCAGAGCACAGGATTCGCACAGAATACAGGATGTCGCAAGATTGTGCAGCAGGAACCAATATGGTGGCCGGTGAGCGCGTAGTAAGCTTACCATGGGAGGTCCTCCGAAAATGACCTCAACTTGTTTTGGTGGTGTGGAGGAAGCCAGCTGAATACTTGCACCATCAACTGTCGGAAGAAGCAATCATCCCGTTAAAGGCAACTGTTGTGGGAGATTTATCTTTTAATGTGTTGTGTACAAATACTCGACTATGGGGGTGACTGTCGACCCATCAGGAATAAAACTAAATGGAAATCGGGAAAAATGTCAAATCTTTCATCGGCCTGAAATGGACGTTTGTAATGACATTTGTGAAAATGTGTCTTTCAGCAAACACTTCTGCGTTGCCACCCTACTGTTGCGTAACCACAGGGCTGATTTACATAACCACCCCCACATTCAAAGATTCTTCAGTCATAACTTGGGAGGCTCGGCTGGGTTAAGATCCAGACCCACTTTGAAGCTATACTATTCGGAAACGCTTTTTCAGAAACACATACATCGGCGGGCTGTCACGTCAAAACCCCCCAAAAGTTAGTAGCGTTGCACATAGTCTTGCTGGATGCAGAGATTAACAATGGTGCTAGCTCCCGATTAACGGCACAGGCTATTGCTTGTCAAGTTGTACACGCACTGGCGATGGGGGTGTTTTTTGTGTTTGGTGGCCATGCGCCACATACAGTACGCACTCTAAAGTACGTGAAGTGCTGCCTCCATGAGTGAAAATGCTTTCACTGTCTTTGTGGGCTCTTGCAGTTTTGCTCCGACAAGTAGAAGCTGCTCTCGTCGCACCTAACAAAAACCGGACTTGCCATTGGCTCAACATTTTTTTTTGTGGTGGGGTACACAGTCACTCACTCAAACTGACTAATGTGAGTCATTACAGAAACAGGGTGTGTAATAGGACTGTAATTCTTTATCCTAGGGGTATTGTGACAAAGCATGTCCCCATGTTATTAGGACACCCGAGGATCATTCGAAATTGTCTCCTTTAAGGCGGGAAGATTACTTTGGCATAGTGTTCCCTGGCGCGAACGGTGGGCTTTTCGTCCACTTCCTCCTTGAGCCACTTTCTCATCACAGAAACGACATCCGCATGGAACGCTTTCTGAGTAGGTGAAGAGAGCGCAAAGGGGTCATAGTTGTAACCGTACATGTGCGTCATCATTTATCACCAGTGAGCTCATACTCACAATAGATGAGTAATTGCCCCCTTTTAACTTCCTGTCCATGGCTTGGAGATCACACGCTGGTGACGGTTCCCTGGTGAGCTCTGTCTTTTTGGTTTCCTGACACTAAAAGACACGCGCTCACTAAATGCAACAATTTGAGTACATAACCTCCTTGAGCACGGCTGCACACCTACCGATTGACAGAGCGCAAGGTGCTGAGTGGCACCGGAGGCGAGGAGGCCGGCCAGCACCTCTTGCAGGCCAAATAGCAGTTGGCCCTGCAGACGTTCCCTGAGGCTCCCATCCTCGCCGGTGCGCTGACGGCAGGGGGAGCAGGTGAAGACGGCATCCTGGGGTCGACTCGACAGCAGCCCCTTCAGCTCTTCTGCAACAAGAGCAAATCAATAAACATCAACACGCAACACGGACTTGTGCTCAAGAAGACAGACCCGCGGGGGATTCTTCTGCGATACAACTCACCTGAAAGGCCCTCGCAGTCGTAATGCACCCAGTGTTTACATTTCAAACACTGAATCATCCGCGCCCGCTGGCTGCTGTCGTCGTCATAGCACTTGTTGCAAACTGTGCAGAAGTGACCTGCGTACACGGCACACATCAAACGTGAGGCATATCAGATCAGCCCAAGGTCCAAATGGTGAACAATTTCATTCATCGGTTTTAATATTGCATGTTAGCCCCTACGGTTGATTTCGCTTCACATCATTTCCTGTCTGTAAACCACAGTTTTGATCTTGGCGCACCATGTTAACGGTTTCAAGTCGCTAACCTTTTTCGTGAAGAACGGCGCATTCGGGGCAAAAGTTCTCGGTGTGGTTCCAGGCCACATCCCACGACTTTCCGGGCGTCACTCCGCAGCTTTTGCAGCGAATGCACGTCATGCAGAGCTTTAAAAACAGTCACACGACAGCATTGTTGCAAAATTTGAATCAAATGAGGACTTAAATTCCTCGCTTTGATAAATATGTACAGACTACCCATGGTAGGCTGCAGTTCATCGGCTTTGGGTACGTTGGTCCCAAGCAGGAAGGATGGTAGGAGATTTGGCATCTCTTGCATTGCAACACAGGCTGCAGAGACATATCACTTAGTTGATATCGGGAGGCAGAACTTACAGAAAACACACGTGGCTAAGCACGGTACAAGCCAAACGCGAGTTGGCTTTGGCACCTTGGACAGCTTGCTTCTGCGCCCACACACGTGACAGAACTTGCAGCGTCTGCAGCACCAGTTCTCCTTGTTTTCCCCCAGAGGTCGCTCCTCGGCAGAGAGGCAGAAGTTGTGGAAGGCCTCGCAGCATATCTGACAGAAGACCATCTGAGAGGGAACGATGGCACAAAATTAATTCGGGAGAACTCGAATCCGACAGGAGCTGCATTTCGGGGCCGTGCAGGGAGCTGTTTACCTCGTGTCGTCCTTTGCTGGCGCATAACAGACAAACGGGCTGAGGTGTGGTGGGGACAGACGTGAGGACGCTGAGGCCCCCCATTAGCCACACGTTTTGAATTGCGCAGTCCTCCTGGCGGATGCAAGTCAATTCAAGTCATTAGAAATATTTCAGCTCCAGAAAGAAAAATAGTTGGCTCTCTGGAATGCCTGCCCACCCACAAGTGTAATTCCAATTACCAACCAATTCATCTTTTGTGACCTGCCCATTTCTGAAAATATAGGAGTTAGCTGTTCTGAATTGTGACATCGCAATCTGCCTAATTTACATAAAGTGGATGATACGTGGAAATATTTCCCAAATATATATCGCGTTCGATTCCGGCCTCCCTGTGTGGAGTTTGCATGTTCTCCCCGCATCTGCGTGGGTTTTCTCCGGGTACTGCGGTTTCGTCCCACATTCCAAAAAACATGCATGGCGAGTTAATGGAACGCTCTAAATTGTCCCTAGGTGAGTGTTTGAGCGTGGATGGTTGTTCATCTGTGGGTGCCCTGCGATTGGCTGGCAACCGGTTCAGGGTGTCCCCCCGCCTACTGCCCGATGACAGCTGAGATAGGCTCCAGCACTCCTTGTGAGGAGAAGCGGATCAGAAAATGGATGCATGGCTAAACTGTATATACATACATCTCTCACCTTGAATTTTGCCATGTGCATTTATATTTGGAATATTTTGCAAACCCTGGTAATCTGAAAGGCAAACACCCAAGCCTACCTTAAAATCCACCCGGATCTTTGTCTTGTCAAGCACCGGGCCCTTCTGGGGAAATCCATTCGGGAAACCCACGGGGGCACTGGGCGATGAGCCCTCAGCGGCATTCTGGGAAGGAAGGACACAGTGTGGGTCAGTTCCCGGTGGCCTTTGCAGCCCCATCCCTTCTGGTCCATCTTGGCCGTCATCCCGGGCACCGTCCGCTCCGTCCACGGTGAGCTCTTGGTCGGTCAAGGCACGGAGGGGCTGCAGCTGCGACAACGCATCCCCTTGAAAGCGCAACGTGGTCGCAACCTCTGTCAGAGCTGAGGGCGACAAGGACTTTGGACTTCCTTGGGGTGGCGGCGATTCACTTTTCCGCCCGCGTAACGCGGCGTGCACCACAGACGGAGGCAAGGGATGCAGTCGCAACACAAGGACACGTGAACGGGGCAGCATTTCAAGCTGGTTCCGTGTTACGAGCTGCGGCGTTACGGCATGCAGTGCGTGCGGCTCACTAGGCTGCTTTAGGGGCCGCATCAATTTGGGTTCTGATTGTTTAGGGCACGGATCCAGGTGCCGGGGCGACTGCAGGTGAGGATCGGGGAACCGGTATAAGTGTACTCTGAGCTCCCGCTGCAGTTTGGCTGGGGGGCTTCCGGGTGGGCCGGGACAGGGGAACGTATCGCTGGGCGCCGCCTCTTCCATGTTCTGCGATTCCTGCGGAGGAGGGGACTGCCTAAGCCAACCAGCCATACAGGTTCCAAAAGCTACACTTGCATAGAGGCGCATGCGACGGTGGCGACAGACAAAGGAAGGAGCCCTATTGTTGGGACACGGTGTTAGCCAGGGTGAGGAAGAGGGATAAAAGGTGAATAACTTGCAAGAATGGTCAGAGGCCACAGGCATGCTTGTTTTTAGGTCCACATATTGATAACCCGAGTCTGACGGTTTTGACAGAACAGAGATTTTGGGGGTGGGGGGTGGGGTGGAGTAACACACATAAATTTCATTTAACACAAAAAGGGGACGGTAACCTTATTCCCTCAAATATCCCAGGAAAAGGCTTTGTGCAGCAAGTGCGATCATCTCAGTTCATCAACACTACTGTTCACACACACACACACACACACACACACACACACACACACACACACACACACACACGCACACACTGCTAACCAAAACGGCAGCACCTACCAAAGCACGCAAACAATCTATCAGATGATTCTAAATGTATGCTGCCACTGACATGCCTGCACAGTGGAAAAGAGGTCTTTGATTAACTCGGCTCCGTAAAACTGACTTGCGGTCACTCCGCAATGTTGCTTGCCGTGCTTCTTTCTGGTTGCATTTCGAACAGTCTTTCTTTTTTTTTTTTTTTTTTACTTTGGACACCAGTCTCACTCAAGATCAACTGTAATAAACCGCTAATTTTCTACAATCCAGATCGACACCCACAAAAAGGTTGTTGCTGTTAACCACCCCCCAGACTTGCAAGTGAAATGTGTCAAAATACTCCGTTCGAGACATATTTGCAACAACAACACATATTCAAAGCATCTATATTTTAGAACAAACAAGTAAAAGCAGAGGGGGGAAAAAAGGTTAGCAAGGCTCAACGCGGAAAATCTACATCTACTTTCCCTAAGGTATCTAATCCTAGCACATTTTAGATTGGTGGACAAAATAAGAAAAGAAAAGAGGCCTGGGAAGGAAATTACTTGGAAGTTGTCGTCTAGTTGGGAATTTGTCAGACTTGGCATAAAATAATAGCAGACCAAGAGCAAGTAGTAGTCGTAAACCACATTCCAAATAATTTACCCCAGGGAGTCTAAAGGAGCTACATGAGAAGAAAGACACTTGCAGGCAACATTACCTTGTTGGCTCTTGGTCGGCTTCCTTTGGAAAACGGCCGCCGCTGCTTCATCAACTCCATGGGGACGTTCTCACATACGGACAGTCCAAGTCCAAGATCTCAAAAAGAACAAAATGGTTCTGTTGTTGTGTGTGTGTGTTTTTTTAAGAGGGCTGGGGGGGTGCACTGAGGTTGTCATCTACCTTGCTTAGCGGCCATTTTCTCCTCCTTGAACTCTTCCCTCTCTTCCTCTGGCTCCTCGTCCGACTCGGACTTGAGCAGATTGCTGAAGGAGCGCGGCGTGATGTTGCGCAAAGAATGCTTGCGGATTTTAGTCGGCGCTAAGGACAGCTTCGTGCTCGACTCCCTGGCACCCCAGTTGCCGTCATCGCTGCTTGACATGGGTCCCGAAAACTGCCTGGCCCGGACTGACAAAATGGAGGCGCATGAGTGATGATCACTCACGTTATTTTGCTTCATATGACACCAGCATTCAAACGTCAGCTCCCACCCAAAAAAAATCTCTCATCCTTGACTTTATTTTATAAAAATGTAAGAGAAGATTTGTATCAACTGTTATGGTTCGCAGTGTCATGTTGGTGTGACGCATGTGTGCCTTTCAGGGGGCGCAGCTTGTGTGTGAAATCAGGAACCGGAGTATGGTTGGCTGGTTATTTCAGCATAAAGGTCTGCTCCTTGTTAGCATTCTCGTTTTGTATTTGTGTTCGATCGTTTGTCCCGTTCAATAAACTGCAAAAAGTGCATCGGCGACGGCTGCTCCGCTTTCCCACGTGCAAGGGCATAACTACATTTGTTTTCCCCGATCAGTCCCACTTGACTGGGTGTGTATTTGGAGCTTGCTCATTCAAACTTTGACTTGCAATAAAAAAAAATAAAAAAAAAACGGGAGAAAAAAAAATGACTTGGAGAAAAAGATCATTCTTAAAGTCAAGGTAGCACTATACTTCAATGATTTTTTTTCACCAAATTTCTCTGCCTACCATCCAGAGCTAGCAATATACTTTTAACAATACATACCTTTAAATTGTTTGACGATGCGCTCTGTCTTTGTGGTCTCAATTCTATCACACCTCCTGTATCTGTTGAAAATACAGCACAAAATGTCTTCATCGTTTTTTTTAACTCATGGAAAAAGTTACTTTTGTACAAACTAGCATGTTCATCGCATTTTATATGCATTGTTTCTTTGCTTCACACTCTGGGGTAGCAGCGGCGCTCGCGAGCTCCACCAAGTGAGAAGAAGCAAAAAAAGAAAGGAGGAGGGGGGAAAAAAAAAGACCAGTGACCGCCTAATTTGATGGACACAACCATATTTGCTTACATGCAACACTGTCGCCTCTTGTTGGGCCCGCCGAACTTGGGCTTGTCACGACAGTTGGTGCACTTGGCGCAGTCGCTGTCCACCAGGCACCCTCTGCACGAACCACAGCGCCGCGAGCGCACGCCGCCGGGCCTGTAGCGGCTCAAGATCTTGCGCTTTTTGAACTTGCGGCCGCGCCGCCACCCCC